AATTTGAAGGCTCACGGAGTAACTAGAATGTTTGAAGCGTCAATGGAGCGTTGTGATATGACACAAACAACCTACATGGAGTAGTTAAGATAGTGAAGTGTAACAAACATAGTGAAAATGGACTGTTTCTGGGGCTGATTAGTCTAGATATGTTATGAGCGTTCCATCAGAGATGCTGAAGAGCATTTGATATTTCGGGCTGAACAGAGATGGTAGAACTGGATGCTAGAAGATCTTATTATATGAACGCTTAGTGAGAAGGAAACGATTTTGCAGTCACTGCCAACTTCACAAATCAAAAAAATTCCTAGGCTTTTCTTCGCATGAATATGTACTTTTCCATTAAAGTGGCCGAAGGAACTGCTTGTCTTCCAAAATACATACTAATGATTTTCTTTTGATCATTACTCCATGATCCATTTTTTTCTTTCTTAACGAAAGTATTTGTATATGTAAGTCGAATTTAAAACCGATGTTTAGAGATGAAAATTAATATTTTTCAAAAAAATTCTCAAAAAAAAAGGAATTATTATTACGATGATAGGGAATCTTCTCTGCAAGGAAATGACAGAAACTTTACAGAAACGTCTTGCTCAGTAAAACTGGGTTCGGTTTAATACGACGGGCAAATAAAAAGCAAACGTTACCAGTTTATATTTTATTCTGCATATTTTTTCTAGCCCCGAAGTAATAAAGGTTGCTAAACGTTACCCGGCAACTAGGATCTGCACCGGTCTTTGCATCACGCATAACAGCTACTGATTCGAAGAACTGGATAAAAATGCTTTAAAGTGACGGTGCAGATAACCGAAAACTTGAATGCTAACGAAACCTCAGTTCTGAAATAGCATTCATATTAATCAGAAGCTTTCGAATTTTTCGATCTTATTCGCGAATGCTACGTCCATTCAGGGAACAAAGAGCATCAAAATTAACAAAAAAGTGTCACCCATATAGGCGAACGCGACGAGCTACAATTCCTGCTCTAGAATGCTTAAAGCACGCAAGCTAATAAGTTATTTACAACTGCGCCTGGTGATTGGTCGATGGCCGTTGCTAGCCTTTGGATGCAGCCAGGATATCTATACGTACCTGAAGCCGTTACCCGCCCCACGACGTCGTCCTTTCTTTCAATGAAGGACGGAGGATATGCGCTGCTGCTGCTATTTTTAGTAACGTTAGCTGCGGCGAAAGATCGGCCGCAAACTCTTCTGCCCACTAAACGGCGGCAATCAGCCTTTTGAAATGAAGCTTAGTGGCGCGAAACCGGTAGCAGTTGGCTCCCTTTCGTCCCTTATTTAACAAGTGACGAATCCTGAAACGAAGATATCCAGCTGACTAGACGACGAAGCGGCAGTGGCACCGGCTGACAGGCGATTGACGCGTAGTACCATCAGACGAAACGATTGTTTGCTGTTTATTCTCGCAGATACCACACATCTTTCTCCGCCTCCACCATATGTCACAACTTTCCGTAGTTGAGAAACTTGTTGCTATCTTCTTCCGCTGATTCGTTTGTCACCCTTCCTGCTGTTACTACGACTATTGAATTCGTCGACTCTTTCTCCGCTTGTTTCTTCTGCTACTGCCGCCTTAAAGGCTTTTTGTTTTTTCTGCCTTTAGGAAAAACAGCGATAGCGAGAAGGAAAAGCACATAAGTGAGACTAGAAGCTGCATCTTTTCTGATGTTTGTTAAGGAAAGCCACTAGGACTGACATCGTAGAACTAGGACTAGGCTTATTCTTATCTGCTTGTTCCCAGTGTATGACGATGCGATTTGAGAGCGTTTACGAGAAGTGTTAGCGATTAGAAATGTAGGTTGAGTTATGTTATTGTTATACAATCAATATTTTTATTTTAGCTCTCAGTTGTCCTAGAAGATACGCTGCCGCCGTAAACGTCTCTTAAAGGATATACGAATCAAAATGATATAGTTAGAGCATGAGAATGGTTAGGAAAAAGACTATAAGCCTGTGATACTGCGTTTTATAGGATTGTGACAATATACTACCTTCGCTGATGTTTATGCATACTCCATTCGCAGACTGGTGATGTTCGGTAGCTATGTGGGCGGCTTAGAGATGGGAAAATCATGGACCACCACTAATTAAAACGATAAACATGACGAGTACCGTAATCCGTATGATCAGTAATTATTTAGCGCGCAGACTTTCACGGCGTAAAGTTCAAATCCATTATTACCTTTTCAATTTCAGATAGAGATTTAATTTCATACTCACAACAATAGAGTTACGTCGTATGTGTTGCCTCATTTTTGAGCAGTTTCTAAAAGTGCGCTATCAAGCAAGCGTCACCAGCTTCACCGATGTGAACTCAGACCGCGTCGCTTCATCTGCTCCGGCGTGTCGTGGATGGAACAACATGACCCAATGATGCAAAAGCCTAAACGGTTTTTTTCCGCTTCATCCCGATATCTTCTAATCACGTAAAAACATATGGTAGTTGTATCACGATATCGTCGAGGATACATGGAACCGTAGATAAATTTCTGAACCTTTCAGGATTTTTTCGCCTAACTCACAAGCTTCCCGCGATCATTCTCGACTTTACTGTCGTCTTTTAGGCTATGCTATCGCCGCTCTTGCGGTCCGTGTTACGCCTGATATCGAGATGGGATTAATTATTCCATAACCTGTGTATATGTCTTTGAAGCTGAGGGAAGTTTGTCAGCTGATGGTCTTCTAGGCACGTTGTGTTTCCTCCGTTTTATTTGGTCTTTTATATAGAACGCGGAAACGGCAATTTATTTCAGACGAACCCTTCGGTGTTCCAGCTGACGAACGAATTGAAACGTTTTCGAATCAGAGTGTACCAATATATACAGCCAGTGCCGTGTCCTTTCGCTACCGATGAATGTTCGTGACGCTCATGATTAGGTTGGCGAAATGATCGATAGCAAGCTGGCATCAATAGGAGGAAGTATCTGTGAGTTTCCAGTTTGTATGAGGCCGGTGAGTAACCAAATTACAAGAGTCCACGTATCGGGTTGCCTAAACTGCTCTTGGGGCGCTCGTAGCAGACGACGTTAACTACCCCTCCCACCCTCCTTTAGGTAAATTCATCCTTCACTAGGGCGGAAAGTATAGAGAGCATTTTCTACCACAAACGTTGATATTTGTGGGCTAGTAATGACTGTACGATATCCAGGATAATTGTGTTGTCATATGTAGATTCTCCCTTCCATCATGTTACGAATGAGTACCAAACGTTTTCCAGCATCTGCCGTTAGTTTGAAGTTCCGTCGAATGCGGGTGAGGCCCCAAACGCGATTCCGACGGTGCATGCGGCCGGGGGACGGGGGGTGTACATAATAAGTGGGTGGGCCATTGCGATGCGACAAAACTTCGAGTTCCAATTCAGCTGACTCTATAGTTTGCGAGTTGCATCTGCTTAGTATGCTTACGGTAGCACAGAGTTGTATACCAATAGTCCCATTTAAAGCAAGAAGAGCATGGCAGATAAATCGCTGTAAAGGATCATTCATATGATCGGCTAGATACAACGGCCGTGAACAGTGTCATGAAGTTAGGATGACATTGGGGAAGCACAAGATCAGTTTGCAGGTCACTAAAGATGGTATGATTATTCCAGGAACTGCTGTAAAAAACGTATATTCTTTGGAGGTCTCAAACTATTTTACGTTAGTGTTTTTAAAAATTATTTTTAATGTGTTTTTTTTTGTTTTAGTATTAAACTAGAATTGAAATTGTTTTTGTAGCATTCCCAGTCATGTATCAATATGCTTTTAACAGCAATTTAGTTAAAAAGAATCTAAATTTAATTTGCCCAATAAAACTATAGAAATACAATGCCATTTTTGACTCGTTTAGGTAGACTGGCTAAACATTTGGCTAAAAAAAAGGGCGTGGGCCACATTTTTGAACCACACCAATGATGCATAAACACTACAAAAACTGTGAACAAATTCAAATTCCTTTATATAATATTTTATAGCTTCCTACTACGACGAATAGCTAAGATCTATGCAAAGCCCGTTAGTCAAAAGAAGACCGTCAATGAGGGGGAAAATCACAAACGGAAACAAATAGGCTTTTCAGGCTTATTGGCTAAAATGGCTTACTAATCTGATTTGTTCGAAACGTGCCAAAAGTCTCTAAAGTATAAGCCCGAATTTCAGGCACGAAAATAGTGTAATTTTAAAAACAGATCGAATAAGGGGAAAAATCCGATTTTTTGTACATTTCATAGTTAACTTTGCTGAACTTTTATATATTTACACGTGCTGTATATATAAATAAATGTGACGTGGTGATCGCGTTTGTCGAAAGAAATCCATCGAGAAGGCAGATTTTTCAACATATAATAGAAAAGGAAAGCTTGTCATTTAATCTGCTTTCGGATTTCGGCACAGCTCATTATCAAAGGCCAACATCAGCAAGGTCGCTACGGCTTGGTATGGCCCGTTCTTTTCTAGAGTAGGCACGCTTCGAATGTGTTTATAGGTTCGAAATAGAAAATGTTAGTGTTGGTAAAACAGCAGACGCCAATGATTAGTATGCTACCTAGTGGATTTGTATATGTATAACATGGAAGCAACGATAACGAACAAAACATAACGACTGATGTCTTCCGTCCATACGAATGAAAATTACTTGCTTCCAGTTAAGAAATGCATTTTAATGCAGCCACTATTTCGCCAACAGTCGCATCGCTATGTTGCCCCGGTCAGGTAGTAGTGCTAAGTGTACACGAGTTCAGTTTAAAGTACTATGCCTTAGATACCGGTCTAGTGTACGCTCTATACGGTCAGTACTGATTCATTTAGCCTGTAGCTCAAGCAGGCCAAACCGGGGTCATAGAATATGAACATCAATTTCTTTGCAGTAACGATTGCACCATTGAGAGCGCGAATGTTTTTACATTAAAAGATCTAATTCTCTCCCATAAGACTAGCTATCTATGACATAACAAATAAACATGCTAAAGCAGTGATAAAGCGAAGCAGCTATTGTTCTTACCTTGTTCTCACTTCCGTATGAAACAGGTGGGGAGATTGAGCCCTTCGTAATTTCGCGCAATCATCCGGTAGGGGAAACAAACCGTTTGTGTTTCGAATGGGCAGCGTTCGGTCCATGAACGAGTCGATCCAGAACAGGTAACCAGTATCCAATCTACTCGATTGGCTAGGCACCCCACTCTTGGTCCACGCCCGTTCTTTCTATCCGTACTGTTATGACGATTAAGTGAGTCGTTTAGGTCCAATTTGCGATATAGGCCTGCGCGCCCGTTTTGCGCTTCCTTCAATTGCCAGCATTCGCGACCCGTCGAAACAATAATGTTCTCTTCGAACGGCCCGATGCTGGCAAGTAATAACGGAGGCGACGCTGTTTCTTTTGGCTGAATTGAGCCGACGTATACGAACAAGGACGCCGCTACTGGACTGTACCAACCGAAGTAACTCTGGAAGGGTTTCAGTGCTCTGAAGTGACGTATATATACAACAAGTACGTTTAAGTTGGAAGAGGTAAAGCGGACAGGTTAAAAAGCAAGATTTGAATAAGTGACTCAAAAGAGTACGTCGCTACGCTTCTACGCAAACTGTAGTAAAGATGATCTTAGAAATGGAATCCAAGCTGACCTACACACCTTACTGCTATACAATAAAACTTTACATAAAGTTCATTATTTCTCTATAGAATCGCGTGTGCGGGATGAAATTGAGAAAAAAAAAAGCCATAGAAACAGTAGATCCTTAAATAGAACCAAACTTTATAGATTAGGGCTATGGAACGAGTTCGATAGGTACGACGAACCAAGGCACGAGTTTTCCCTACCTAAATCAGTGCTTTGAAGCAATTCAACATGCGATAACAGTTGATATCAACTCTATAATTAATCTAGAAGAACTAGCATAAGAGGATGTTGTAAAAACGACTACTTTCGGAAAAAGTTACGTGTATCCTATCTAGCCTAAAAATTCTTATTATCAGTCGATCAACCCCTATCCAAAAAGAAGGGGTTCGAATTTTCTAAAAAGGTAATTCATATTAACTGGCTAAACTCACATGCCTCGATCTCGTTAGTCTATTCGCAAAGCTAGTTTTTTGCAAGAACTGTACAAGTGTGCAAGACGACGTCAGCACCTGCGTCACAACATGCGCCATCATGGGGTGTACGACGATGCATCTTACTCTGTTCAGCATCCATCTGCGACGCTGTGTGCAGGTTACCACATAACACAATCTGGTTACCTGCTAGCTCTTATCTTCCTTTCCCATCTTCACAGACACGCTCCCTCTTACTTTCTAAGACTATTTGTTCGGTGGCGACGGCAAGAGCGTTTCGTCGAGATGCAAATTCATTACAATCCTTGTCATGGGAGTTAGGGCTAATTGCGGCCTCCACAGGGTCTAGCCGTACAGGTAGTCGTTAACACTGTTACTGGGGCCTTTACGGCCTTAACAATGTCATTACAGGCTATTAAATTGCGTCACCACCGACCACCTCAGGCTAACGCAGGATAGCGAGGCGTAGCTCGATTTGTCTGCGTTGAAAAGGTGAAACCCAATGAATCTCCAGTGATTACTAAGTAAGCTGGTTCAAAAAGGAGACTAAGCCAAGGACCAATCATATCCCCTTTCTTGCTCTAGCCGCTTTCTGCATTTCCTTACTCCTTCTCCTGTTCTTTTTTCCTGTATGGTGTAGCTACGGCTTGGTACAAACCGTAGCTACACCATATCGCCGTGTAGGATATTGTTGTTGCTAGAGTTGAAGATAGGCCCTGTTGTAACACTTCTTCGGACTCGTAAGGCCACGTAGTTAACAACTAAATGAACAAAGAAAATCATCTAGTGTTTGACTCAAATCTGTTTACCTTTCATATAAAGTGATGTAGCGTGCGTTGAACGCGTGAAAATTGTCGTTTTGTTGGGCTCATCTATTGCAGGTGCAGTCGGCAACACCAGAAGCTAAACAGAAAGAAATAACATTCAACATCAGATGGTACAATTAAATAGGCGGAGATGAATTTCTAGATATTAAGGTAAATATAACATTTTTATAGATAGGCAATGGATTATGTTCGATGTGGTATTAGGTCGATAGTTGCGGACCCCGTAGAATCATTGCGACTTATGTTTAAGCGATACTTTTAGGTCTGCCTCATCTACAAGCACTTAGCAAATACTACAAGCCAAGCGCTTATCACTAGAGTTTTCCCATTTCACAGAAAATGCACTGCTCGATAAGCAAACACTCTTTCGCGTAGAGTTCGTACTGCAAGACACTTACTTGATCGACGCCAATAATTTCGGTGGTATATTGTAAACGTTTCTTGGTAGGCCAATTTGAGTTTGTACTGGAAATTACTCAAATCTCACTGTTCCGTCGAGGGGACTTTAGTCTGTCCCGCCAACATTAGCCACACAGCTGACCTACTTGTTTGCCCAATCTACGCCCTTTGGACGTTCCCCGATACCTCTAGAAGTGGACATGATACTGCCCTTGTACACATAAGTAAAAACTCCACTAGTAATTCTGTCCATAAAGACTAAATCTTTTATGAAACGTTGCATCCGCAATCAGCTTATAATTCATTTCCGGATTATTTATCAGAAACAGAGGACGGCCTGCTTAGCTGAAGATGCAGAGAGCTGCTATTTGACACACAGGCTCATACACGTACAGGAGCTTATCTTGATGTAGCGGAAGCTTTTTATCTCTTGTCATTAGGATTTCTTCGAACGTTGATTTCCATAAAATTGTCTGTAAATGCGAAATCTTGGTTCTAGTCGACAGATCATTATTAGTCGAATATAGCGTTATAAAGGGATGGGTGCTGCAGTAGATGCGTGCATAAATGTTATTCTAAACTCTATTGTTATAAAGCCGACTTCAATGGCTACGTATGGCTACGGGATTGATGTAGATTTCTCTCATATGTTTGCAGTCGTAAAAAGCTGTGCGATGGAATCGTTTTAATAGCAAGGCCATTATAATGGCAATTGGTGCTGTCCGGATCATAAAACCAGACAAGATAAAAATGACTATCGGCGGAACTGTAACATAGATTCTTTTTTATGCAAAGGCCTGAACTTAGCCAGTGATATACTCTACTGGGAAACACACTTCCAAGCCAATAAATTCAATTGTTTTCAATATGCCACTATTCTGGCCACATTGAAATGACTAAAAGCGCAGCACCAGACGATCAGTTCTCTATACTATATCAGACGCTGCTTAAATCCAATTTCACTTTTGCAACAGCAGGTTGAATTACGACTCATGAGACCGATTAAAAATCCTACGAAACAATGCCCATAGAGTTATTTTCTGTGTTCCGGAATCTCGCAGCATAAGGTATATATACAAGCCCCGTGGCATAATAACTATTGAGGATATCTGTCCATACAATTCTGCACGCTCTGAAAAAACTAATCCAAACAGATATAATAGCCGGCCTAATTGAGCGGGACGTTATTGCATGTCTTGCTATTCTGCACCTACAAGCTAATAAAACAATGTTTGCCCTGCCCTCCTCGCGATTAATAAATATTTACTCGAAACAACTTAGCGCTCGCAGTTCATTCGTTCGGTTATTTCAAAGCCTTCCACAGGCCTTGTCCTACATGAATCTGGTCGTTTACGTAAGGGCTAAAATATTCGTAGTATTATTCATTGTTATTTCCTGATCTCTTCACATATTCTGGGTATACCGTAATGGAATCAGACTTTTAAACCAAGAAAATAATGTGTAACAACAACAACAACAGTAATAATGTGTAATGTTCGTGGATGTTACGCGACCTCTTTTAGAGTTATTTGTAACTCAGCTCCTTAGTTAAACTCTTGCCTTTATGGTAGCTCATTAAAGATTCAATTGATAAAAACTCCCTTCCCAATCGAATGCATCAGACATCAATAATCTATGCAAAGTTGCTATTGTCAGCATAAAGCCATTTGTTTGTCAAGGGCGCACAGCCCTCCCTACAACATAATGCTGTATTTGTCGTAAAAGACAGACTTTTATTCGTAATAAAAGTGCGATGTGGAAAACAAATTAGCATGAATACATATTTAATACTCCGGTTCATGCTCTCTCGATTTCATTCAGATATATGTAATTACGCGAAGACTGCGCGACAGATCGATTTTGAAATACGCGGGTTGGCATATCTGATTTTGAAAAGTTGGCGCGACCACATGAATACTCCATCGTCGCAACGATGAAGAACTTATCTTCGCTCGTCAAGAGCTATGTATAACCCGCACATTTCGTGAATTAAGTAAACTGCAGCTGACACAAAAAACACTGCAAAACTTACAGAAAAAAAAATCTGATAGACAGTTAATACTAAAATAGAAAAACTATTCATATAGAAATCTAAAAAAAAGGTATATTTTTTAATATTTTCTAAAGATGTATATATTTTTGAATGCGGAACAGAGTCGATCTATAATTACCGAAACTGTAAAGATGGAAAAAAGGATAATCTCTTCGGATATGCCCCAGCGGTATGAGACACAGTACTAGTTAGCCCTCTTCAACATCGGAACGACTTGACAATATTACAAGGTCGTTCGCAGCTTAAATCTATTAGGTTTCTAATTCCGTTAGAAGGCCGAGATAGGACACGTTGACAGCGTTCGTCTGCATAAAAGGTTACGTTACGAAAAGTCTAATTCTGAGCTAAAAAAAACTCAGCCGAACCAAGTCATGAAAAATGAAATTCACAACACTGTACTTGTACAAGTAACTTATCCAACTTTTTTGGTGTTCATTTTTCCCTGCGTAGATTCTCCCATAAAGTTAATCGTAGTTCCGCACTTTCTAGTTTTCTGCACGCTTTACATTGTTGAAAATAGTAGTTGACGGAATCGCGATCTTTCGCATTCTGTAACTTTAACAGAATCAGTTTGGTTAGTGCCACTTGCCAGCCTCATGCAAGGAACCTTCGAACAAGATCTAGAGGTTGAAAGGGAAAGTCAACTGCCAGGGGGAAAACCTTGTCGAGTGGCATGGACAACGGGCGCCAAAGGCAGTATTGGAAGGAAAAGGTGCTTAGGCCAATGGAATAGTGAAACATGGCCATCGAAGCTCGTTCTCGATCAGGAGATAATCACGATTGCACGGAACGCTAATACCAAACCGATTAACCTACTAAGTACTGTTATCGATAGATGGATTGTTTACTGTTTCATTAAACGTCTTAAGAACGTTGCTACGGTCTAATGTAATCGGTTAGCTTTAAATGTAGATTACGGAAAAGAAATTTCTCGCTAATTAGTGGATTATGTATAATGTGTTTAGCTCTATTTTTCTTTTGGTCGCTTGCATCGAATGGACAACTGAACAGCTACACAGGTATTATGGAAACAAACCGTTGGAGTATTTCAAACATGAAATATACCAATCTTAACAATACGGCTATACATTGGGATGCATGTATCGTATTCTATTTACAAATCTTAAAATCTAACGCGTGCTAGAGATCAGCCGTCAAATTCAATATGGCTAACGCTACCATTGCGAGGTTAAACTCGTGCCATTCCTTCAGGTGTGAGAGCGTCTGCAGAGGTTCCTGTAGTAGCCCCTCATGGTAACGAAAAAGGTATGTCGACCAAGAGGAGGTTATTAAGAATGAAAGCTTTTAAGGACATAATTCTATAGTAAATACATGTTTGCAATGTTGCCCAGCAACGAATGAGGTAAGGCCGTGCTTGGTTGAGCATCTACGACATCTTCTGTTTTACTATTGTATATTGCGTAAAAACTAATATGAACATATCAGTTAAAAATAGTAAGCTACTAATACAGACGCCACTGTGGGCTGGTGACAAACCGATCTTTTTCAAGCGTAGAACACTCAACCAAGCTATCGTACTATTTTCATTTAACAATAAGAGTACGTCCATACGAAAATTGTGTTACAACATTGGAAATTATTGATGTCATTGTTACTATGGCGTTACTATGGCTTCTGATCGACTGCCTTAAAAGCCTTTGCGTTCTGATGAAGTGAACAAGCCATGTTCAGGTCCATGATAATGGAAATAATCGAAGATTATAGTAATAAAAGGTACTGACACCTTTAACAGGTTGCCAACTGTACCTGTAGGACTATGCTGTTTAAGGTGTCGTGTAGTTTA